CGTTCCAGGGCATGTGGCGGTGGTCTCACCATCAGCTACCTTGTGTTTAACCCGTGCACGCTGCTGCTTCCGAGGGAGGGAGCGCCAGCCGGTTCTCAAGCAGGAAGCATGTTGGTTTTGTTGTTTGGGGTGGGTTTTCTTGGTTAATAAAGTAATTACTGCGTTCCTGCTTTCTAGACTGAGGTTTAAGTTTTATTGTTAGATTTTCATCATTTTATCGGTCTCTGCATAGACAACATGAACTAAATGACTGTAAACTCAATCCCATTGAAAAGCCCCATGGTGGGAGACCCGTGCAGTGCAAGCAAGCTAGGAAAAATGTGTTTCTGCCAAATAGTACCCGGAGTAAATGGAGGAACAAAATACCTAGAAAATGCTAATAACGTGGCGTTCTTGCACAGTATGCTCTTGGCACAATGGTAGAAGCAACAAAGGCATCTAACGGGCTTCCTCAGCCTGGCGATGAGTACGACTTCTACCGATGCTTCCCTGGCTTCCGGGTGTACTGTGAAACACAGAGTGACCGTCTCCTGGACTGGTAAGAATGCTTCTGTGTCTCTGGGTCCTTGCTAATAGCTTCCAATCCAAAACAGCAGGTAGCACCCTTCTTTAGAGGCTATAGACTCGTAAATGAAAAGATGGCTGATTGTACATACCTAATTGTAGCTACTTTTCTAGCACTTGATAGTTTAAGGAACAAGCTTAAAGAGAGACTTTTGTAATTACGTTGATAAGGAGCTGTGCAGGGAGCAGAGGCAGATATAAAACGCATCAGGCTATCGGTTTTAAAAGTCACATAGTTCCTAAGAAATGAATTCTAACACTTAATGCTGTACAGGAGTGTCTTCTATTCGCTGCTCACGCAGTGTTATCTATAGGACGTGCATTTGGTTTATTTTCACACCTTGAAGATGTATAAAGTTGAAGGGAATTGGATGGTGTAGTGTTCAACATGCCTGCTTTCAAACTGCTAATAGCTGTACTGTTCTCTTGTAAGCATGAGCAAAGTGATGCAGTACTATGGCTGCAGGAGCCACATGAAAGATCACAGCAAAGTGACAGACCTGGAAGATAAATTTGACATGTTGGTGGATGCCAACGATGTCATTCTGGAAAGAGTGGTAAGCAAATCATTTCTGGTCGTTGCTCTTACAAACTGTTCAGTTACCACATTGCAAGAATGTCAGTGGTAGTACATCCACAGTTACATTTAGTGTTTCCTCAATCTGGTGGGTTTCCTTTTTATTCCATGTGCTAGGCCAGTGGTTACAGCAGCCGAGGCAGATGGGTTATTGCCCAAAAGGAAGGAAATAATAATATGCTTCATTGAGAATAGGTTAATGGTTGGACTTGATGATCTTAAAGGTCTTTTCCAACCTAAATGATTCTATGATTCTGTGTGACTTGTGAGGAAATCAATACAGTTTGGCCTAAAACCCCACAACCTGAGAACAGGTCTGTAAATTCATACTGCTGCTTCTCTGAGGAACCTTTTCCTACCCCTGATGTTCAGCATATTCCTCCCACATTTGTCTGTCTCGTGTTGCACAGAAGTCAGGGGAAATGGCTGTGCAAATACCTATCTGTGTGATTTTATTCAGTCTCTTTGGAGGGGCTGAGTGTGGTAATTTAACAGGGGTTTGGTTTTCACCTTGCTTTTCTGGAATTTAGGGTATTTTATTGGATGAAGCATCAGGAGTAAACAGAAACCAGCAGCCAGTCCTCCCTGCTGGCTTACAGCCTCCACAGACGATCGTTTCCAGCTGGAACCGCAAGGTGAGGCCTCTGCCCTGCATGTGATGTGTTACCATAGCTTTTCCCAGCACTGGCACTATTAGTTTTCTAGTGGAATTGAGTAGTTAAATGTTTTGTCACAGTTTTTACACATCTGAATTCTCTCTTTTTTGCTTTTCCTATTTATTCAAACTTGATTCTGGATTCTGTGTGCTTTCAATTGCTGTTTCAGTTTCATGTAGACAACAGTGTTTCTTTTGCCTATTCATATGAATTCAGGATCTTGAATCAAAGAACTTTCCTTTGTAGGTGCTGGACTCGCTATAAAAGGGTGACTCAGTTTTGAGTTTGGGGTATAACTTTATTCCTCTGAATATTGGGTCAGGCTGAGTAGAAGAAACTCTGAATGTCTGTTAAATCATGTGAGTTTTACCTGTGGTTACCTTCTTTTAAATAGGTAGGAGACTCCCACAAGAGAAATCAAACTGAAACCTTCCGACTGCTTCATGCCAAGAATATCTCTCGACCACAGCTTAAATTTCGGGAAAAGATTGACAATTCCAACACTCCTTTTGTACCTAAACTTTTTATCAAGCCAAACGCTTTGAAACCTTTGCCTGAAGGTAAGAGGTTTAATTTTTGTTGGGAGACTTACTAAGAGTATTTGACACAAATCAGTCCTCACTGTCCAGAGGAGAAATCATTGACAACAGCTAACAGCAGGAGATACTGACCATTTAGGTGCAGTGAGCTCTGTGACTGTTGTTCACATACATGTGATGTAAGGGTAGGTCAGTATACAACATCTTCTTGGTATACAGTAAATAGTCTGTTCCAAGCAGATACATTGAGTTCTCTTTACCACCATTGAACGTACATGGTGAGAGTCACTCAGGCACCAGAAGTGGTCTTAACTAGTCTAGTTGGCTCAACAGATACTTCTTCCTAATTAGTTAGGAGCACCATATCTGTGGTTAGACCTACCTTTGCTTTGGGTGCTTTATCAAAGCCACCAGCATGTCGTTCTGCTGCTGGTGATTCATCCTTTGTCTGCACTGATGCTGTTGTACTTTTGGAAACTGGGAATGATTGAAAGATTTTTCTGAAGATTTTTCAATCTTCTTCCCAAATCTTGAGCAGAACCACCTTGTGTCTTCCTTGACAACAGCCTGGTAAAACCTAGTAACGGAGTTGTCATTGGAGGTGCAGACAGAAGTCTTACAGCAAAAGCTGCAGGTCTAAATTGTTAGCATTTTTGATACTTTAGGATTTTAATAGGATCTTGTGGTGGGTGGAGGGGAGAGAGTAGTAGGCTGAGAACATGTTGTGTGTGGGACCCAGTCCAGTTGTTCCATATTGGTTGTTCAGCCCTCACAAAAAGTGGACGGCAACGAAAGGAGCGCCCTGAGGACTTGGATGTGCCACCTGCTTTGGCAGACTTCATACACCAGCAGAGGACCCAGCAAACTGAGCAAGACATGTAAGACATTAAACTGACAGCAAGGTGCTTGGAGTACCACTGGTGAACATGCACTTGTATGGTTCCATTGTGCCGATGCTCTTCATGTGTGACAGCTCTGCATGTGTTTTGTGTCCTCACACTACGTTGCGTGTGACTCGTTTTAGACATCTGCAGATACTTAAACCTGTGCTTAATCAGAGACACAATTTCTACTCAATAGGGAAACTGCCATAGCTCTGAGTCTCTGTGTTCTGAGATGACTGAAATTTAGTCGTCTTCCTAATTTCCACAGGTTTGCTCACCCTTACCAGTATGAACTGGAGCATTTTTCTCCACCAGATGGAGTTCTTCAGAAACCAGAACCCCAGGTTGGTGCCCACATTAGGTTAAGCTTACAGCAGATGTAGTCACCATACTCAGTGAATTTCAGAATTGAGGGTGGGGGTCAGGGGTGGGAATTGAATGTGCCTAATAATTTGCTTTGCCAGATGTACAGGCCTGTCAAGGAAACACCCTGTCATTTTATCACCACGCTGGATGAACTGGTAGAACTAAATGAAAAGCTTATGAACTGTAAAGAGTTTGCCCTGGATTTGGAGGTAATCAGACTGCCTTTTCCATTTAAACGTTATACATGTACTGTTAGTACGTAGGAGACCTTTATATTCTTCTAGTGTGTTTTGTAGTCTTCTCTTTCTTCTGCTTTTTGTACTTTCTGATACGAAAAGACAGTTCATGTCCTATCAGATAGTATCTATAAGGTAGATTTAAACCATGTCAATATTACATGTTTTCCAAAGGTTGTACTGGCTGCACATTTCATTCTGAATTTGATGGTGTTACTTCCATAGCTGATCTTAGCTTCCATCTCTCTCCCATGTTTTCAGCACCATTCCTACAGGAGCTTCCTGGGCCTGACATGTCTGATGCAGATTTCCACCCGAACAGAGGACTTCATTATTGATGTACTGGAATTGCGCAGCGACATGCACGTTCTCAACGAGACCTTTACAGACCCTGCAATTGTGAAGGTCAGCTGCCAAATCCACCAATTTACCATCAGAATTCCTTTTTATATTTGGTTTTTTTTCCCCTTAGTTTACATTTTGCTGAAGTTAACAGCACACTGTGTGCCCTGTCATGGTTACTTGACTCTACTTTCCTTTTATTTGTTTATGTGCCTGTTGCCTTGATGTAAGTGTGGCATTACTTGTCAAGAGCAGTTATTTAGCAGTTTTACACTTAACAGTGAAGGACAGAGGGAAAAGAAATCTGGTCCTAGACACATCAGTATGAATCCACAGCACAGCCAGCCTGGAGCAGAAATGTTCTTCATCTCATTCTCAGTTTGTTTTGCTTTTCAAGGTCCTTCATGGTGCTGATTCAGATGTGGAATGGCTGCAAAAAGACTTTGGTCTGTACTTGGTGAACATGTTTGATACTCACCAAGCTGCTCGGCTCCTCAATCTTGGCAAGCATTCTTTGGACCACTTGCTAAAGCTGTATTGCAACGTAGATGCTGACAAGCAGTACCAGCTGGCTGACTGGAGGATACGGTAAAAACTGACCCCTTAAATGGGCTGGAGCTGCAAGGAAGCACTTGTCCTTGTTTGTACTGTTAGAGCAGAAGCACGTTTCTAGTTGCAAGCCTCATACTTGTAGGTTAGTCTCAAAATGAACAAGCACAGCATTTAGCTGGCTGTGCTCTAAGTTCTTCTATGAGTGTTACATTTTCCCATGTTTCTTTAGAAAATGAGTTTTCTTGGGAAAATAAAGGATGATTAAGTAATGAAAAGCTCCTGGCTGCTCCATTCTTGGGAGCAGCACTTAACCACTGCAGTATTCTAGAGAAAGTCAGTATTTCCTCCTCTAGAGCCCCCACTAAAACGTTCAGTCACCCTCACTAGGTAGAGCAGTATACTGTTGGAGCAAGGAACTTGGGTGTACACATGAACCCTGCACAGCACAGAGGTCCCAGGTCTGCTTTATGTACGCTCAGCAGAGAGGGAAGAGTTACACAAATACCATAGCAAGCAGTTCTGCCATCTCAGTTAGCTCCATGACAGTCTTGCTCTCTGGCCTGTGAAGCCATCTGAATTGGGAAGCGCACAGCTTGTTACGGCTGTTGCCCAACAAATCCTTCAGTAAGGAAACAGAAGAATTTCCATATTAGTTCTTGGTGTGTTTTATGTGCAGTTTGCCCTAATATGTTTAGTAAGAGGAAAGTGACAGTTTAGTGGGGCAACTGCAATGTATTAGTGTAATTTTGGCTCTTTTTCTAGCCCTCTGCCAGAAGAGATGATGCAGTATGCCCGTGATGACACTCACTACTTGCTCTACATCTATGATAAAGTGAGGGAGGCGCTGTGGGAGAGAGGGAACGAGCTGCCCACTCAGCTGCAGATTGTGTGGCAACGCAGCAAGGACATCTGCCTGAAGGTAGAGCTTCACCTGCTTGGATTACCTGGATCAGAGTGTGGGCTTAGTAGGACAGAAAGTCCTTTGCCTGTTCTACGTCTGTAGCGTAGACACAGGTTTTCTTCCTCTTTGTGTGTCTGAAAACAGTTGTATAAACTCTTAACTCAATTGTGTGCACTTGTTCCACTAGCTGCCTTCTTGCTGGTTTTTGAATGCTATCACTCCTTGGCCTCCTGATGCTTTCAGGTGTGTCTTTTCCAAGAGAGATGTTACATTTCCAGTTCTACTGGATGTTCCTAGAAGTTCAAAGCCTAGCTGGAGTTGCACTAGGAGATAATTAATTACCTTGTGCCTGTGGAAAATACTATCTGTGAAAGTAGGCCTTGTCTAATGGAGTAAAGCTTGAAGATACTGTATGTCTAAAGCTGCTCCTGGAGTTTGTGAGGATGGTTTTCCATGAAAATGTGTGAGATGTATGTTTTTCAGGCATAGGCTCCCACCAGTAGTTTAGGGTGAAAGCTCCAAGACACATTGTACCTGAGTTGATTCAGTCCCCTTATGCCCATGTGAGATTCTATCTGACTCAAGCAAACTAGAAAGCACAAATCTGATTCTGATCAGGAGTGTTTCTTTTTTTTTCCTGTCCAGAAATACATCAAGCCCCTCTTTACAGATGAATCCTACCTTGAGCTCTACAGGAGGCAGAAAAAACATCTCAACACACAGCAGCTATCAGCATTTAGGTTGCTGTTTGCATGGCGAGACAAGATAGCACGTCAAGAGGATGAGAGTACAGGGTAGGAAGGCTTTTCTTAGTCACTGGCTTAATACTTCGATGAGTTTCTTGTATTGTTCCCCTCCTGCACCCAAGGTGGAACTACTTTGCTACCTGTAGAAATTGGTGTACTACCTCAAGCTGCTTCTTACACACAAGTCCTGTTATGTTAGCAGTATCTGGATCAGTTAATTTCTTTTTAAGTGATTCCATCTTTTCAGACCTTGCAATTGGGGCAGACTTGTGCACTTTGAAGGTATTTTTAAGAGTTTTTAACATTCTGTTACACTCACACTGCCTATTTGTGTTGTAGGTATGTGCTACCAAATCATATGCTATCGAAGATAGCAGAGGAGCTGCCCAAGTAAGTTTTATTCATCTTTGAGGAGCCTTGTTTGATTTTTAACATCCAACAAGTAATTTTCCTGGTGTGTGATTACTTCTGCAGTTGATCCCTTCCTTCCAGCTGTCAATACTGATTTTTTTGTAGTTGTTCAGTGTGGGAGAGAAATAAATAGCTATACTTATCCTTATCCTTAGAAGGATACAGCCACCTTCTGGGATACATTTCTCTCTCTGATTTTATTCCACTAATAAAACACATTCCTTTGTCACATGTTCCCTCTGAGATTCTGACAGTATTAAAGAGCAAGAGAGAGACAAGTTCCCCCATAACATGTATTTGGGTCTTTTTCAGTTCTTAAAGGGACTGGGGGGACTGCAAGGGGCAGATCCCTTAAATTACCCAATTTATACAACATTTTCCTCAAGCACTTGGTACTCATAATCTAATATCCATATTTGTGAATAATAAAAATGCATGAATTGGTGCTTTCTCCTTATCATCACAAACCTGGTACAAAAGATTTTTTAATCACAGAGAATAAACCCCAACAGATTAATCTGACTTGTGTTACTCTGTCACAGTCAGGACCGTGGTTTTATCTGGTTGGATGTCCTTTGAATACAAATGCCTAATGTATTGGCCATAAATATAGCACACTGAACTTTCCTCATCTCTTTAGAGAGCCCCAGGGCATCATTGCTTGCTGTAATCCAGTCCCACCACTAGTTCGCCAGCAGATTAATGAATTGCATCTCCTCATTCAGCAGGCCCGGGAGATGCCTCTTCTCAAGGTAGGAGTAGCTTGTACCACACAAGAGACTCATTTCTTGCTTTCGCTAAGCCAGGGACTGGAGCTAAATGGTGACCTGTGATGCTATGTATGCTGAAGTTTGCTTTTTGAACACTGTGAATATGGTGGTGTTTAGTACCGCAGAAAGATACATTGCAGCTTCTTGCCTGTCTCTTGTTGCTGTGTACTGGCTTACACACAGCGTAGTTTCCTGGAGAATTAGAGCAGTAAAAGAACAGACACTACTTGAATGTGGTGCAGTTACATTGCACATCATGTTTGCCTGCATGAGGAAGAAGTGGACCTTGTGGAATTTGTTCATCATGTAAATGGATTCATAAATCTTTTACAGCTATGGTGGAGCAAAAACAAAACCCCTAGGTGTGAGAGGTTCATTAGTTAAAATACAGCATCAGCATGTTGATATTAATACAGCCTTCCTCCTTCAGTGAAACAAAACCATTTGTGAGCATGTATGTGTCCTTTCTGTGTGAGGTGTTTAAATGTATCCATGTGCAAACGCTGCAGGAGAAGAGTAAAAAAATGTCATTTTATTAACCTGTTAGCTTGTAATAAATGTGTTGAAAATGCTGAGGAGGCGGCCAGCCTAGAAGAAATAGGGCAGGTGCATTAAGTGATTTTATCTTTCTCTCCCATTCTAGTCGGAGGTAGTCAAGAGGAGAGCACCTCCACCCGTCCCTGAGGTACTGTTTACATAATATTTGTTACCTAATGTCTTAAAGCCTTTGATCTCAGAGACAAATGCAGCAGAATTCTAGCTTCTAGTAAATGGTTTATTCTCATCCATTTTACATATCTCTCCAATTTAGCTTATTGTTACTTCTTTGTGCTAGGCCCATAACATTACCAGCTGTAAATGGGTATTTTATAAACCACCATAACAGCAGCCCTTAAGGCTTCAGCAGCAGACACTCCAGCTGCAGGACAGCTTCGTGTGTGTTGGTCTCTGTTGACTGATCTGTAAGAAGAGATGTTTCATTTCAGATGGGTTTCTAAGGCTGACTTGTTCACTGTCCTTGTATGTGTAAAGCATCCCTCCTAGCCAATGGGTGTTTGCACAGATAGCCTTTTGGTGCCAGATGCAGTGTGCTCTGCTATATTAAGAATATTCAGCCTCTGAGTTTCACCCCTTTAGTTGAATTTTCATTGAAGTATCTCTAATATGTGGAAACATTCACAGATTTAGAGAGCAGTGTATTAATGGTGTCTGTAATTTGAATCTGCAGAAGCCAGAGAATCCCTTCTTTGGGCCACATGACAGATCCCGGCATCCTGTGAATAATTTCCGGAACAACTCCAACTTGGGTAATTTGGACTTAACCTAAAAACTGTGCCCATAATGACATGGTGTGGCTTTGGCATGGGGAAATAAGCAGCCTTGAAGAAACTTGCAGTGAAATCTCATTACACAAAAGAGCAGTAAAATATATATATATATAAT